AGTCTCACAGCATTCTTCGTCGTCTAAACAATAAGCGATGTTTAATAGTTCCAGATGTTCATGTCTTTTGAAAGCAGAGTGACAGAAAGCATAGTGTGTAATAGTGGAGCAATCTGGCATGATAAGGATTTTCAGTTTTGGGCAAGTATATGGTAGCATTAGAAAAAATAAGTCATCAATTTTACAATGACTTATGTTTAGAAATACCAGATTTTGCATCATTAAGCCTGTAAAATCCATTCTGTCTCTTACAAATTTAGTTAACCAAGCACAGCTTAAATATTCAAGTGACTTGGTTCTCCTAATGCATTCATGTACAATGTTCCAGTTCAGAAAGTGGCATTCAACGATGAGCACTGTTTTTGTTGTTTTGAAAACCATCTCACAAAATATTTTCTTTGTTACTTGGCGTTGGTAGCCTAAATCAAGATGAGTCCATGAGAATCGGTCTTTAAACAGATTATACCATCGACGACAAACCATGCGAGTTTTTGAAACTTTCTCAAAAGTTGATAAGAACTGAAATATGTAGCATAGGATTTCATCTGGCAAGTTGTTKATTGCACTGGTGAACATTTTTACCCTTTACAAAATAAATCTAGCTCACAATCCCAATGAACTCCAAGCGTAAAACAAGATAACTCTTGCAACTCATACACGTTAATGTTGAGTTTAGAAAATTCACCAAAGGCACGATATCGCGAATAAGAAACGCTGAAAACTCACCAAAAGCACATTGTCAAAGATGGAATAGTTTACTTGAAATTTACCGAAAGTTTAAATTGTAAAAATAAAAAAACAATTTCTGAACAAACTAAAAGAGCAATTTCAAAAATAAAATAAGTTCAAAAAACTAACCAAAGGTGCGTTAAAAAATATTATTAATGATGAAACTGACTCAAAGGTTTGTCTTGAAATTTAAGTTAGCTTCATCACCACAATAAAACACAATATCGAGAACAAAATTAACCAAAAACTCACCAAAGGCACGTTAACGGGGTATTTATACATAATATTATGGGTTCGACAGCTTCAAGATCACTCTCTTAACCACTGTCATTACACAGGCTATACTGTATACTAAGTTCCGTGTTTTTTCAACAGATATTTTGGTGCTGCGCTAAGCCGAGTTGTCCGAGTTGTAGCAGGGAAAAACCTTTTGTTTTCAAAACACTTTTTCCTGCTGCAATTGACTACTTTATTGCATGGACAATATACAGGGACTGGATATTATATTTTATAGTATATATATATATATATATAAAACGACAGTATAGCCCAAGCAATGTCTAACTCGAATTGCAAGTAACAGTACATATGGCGAGGACATCAGGAAAAGAACGACTAGAAAGATCTATAGAACGTCGTAAAAGACTCAACAGAGAAAGAGCAAGACGATTTTATGAAAATAGAAAGAAAAAGAGATCTCCTTCTTTTAATCGCCAAACAAAGAAAAGATTGCTAGAAAAAGTAAGGAAAATTCTTCCATCTACTCCAGAGAAGAAAGCTTCAATCGTCAAGAGTTTACTCGAAAGCCCAAATTCAAGGCAAATATTAATCGAAAGTGGTCATGTAAATACAGAAAAAGACACGCACGAACAACAAAGAATATCAACTGTAACTTCAGCCATCAACAATGTAAGAGAAGCAATTACCACCATCAAACACAAAAGGAACTCTGATGCTAGAGTAGCAGTAAATATTGGCATTTCAATGCTTTGTGGAAGGAAGTCAAAGTGGACTGCAAACTCGCCTCTCTAAGGAACTTGGTATAATCAGAAGAAGAATAGCCATGAGTGCGCAGCATCGCTTAAATGTGTTGTCAAAGGAGACTACCACAAACTGGACGTACCTTACCAGAAAAACTAGAAATGATGCCGTCCCTGAAGAACGAAAACTCGCATTTAACTTTTGGAGCGATAAAGGTATCTCTCGACCAACTGGGAATAAAAGAGATATATCAAGACTGCGAGTTGGCCCACGTCAGTATATAGAACACGAAAAACAAATTCTAGAAAAAACACAAACGGAGGTTTTCTTAGCATTCAAGCAAATGTATCCCAACATTGAAATAGGCCAAAGGTACTTGAAAACTGCAAGCCTTTCTACGTTGTTCCCGCTCGTCCAAAAGACCGCAATTTCCTGCTGCTGCAGGACTCATGTTGAAACTCAAATGTTGTTCAAGACCTGCATGAGATATCGACAGACACTACAAAGAAGTGATGATGCACCAATCTATTCACACTTGACCGATCTTGTTGACTCAACTTTTTGTGACCGAAAGGAAGAAAACAAATACCATGATAATCACTGTCTCTCAAGGACATGCAACCAATTCGGAACAAAGAACTTTTTCCTTTTGCCCGAGGAAAATTGCAAAAATACCAATAGTAAGCTCAATGGGAGCGATTCGAATACGTTGACGTTGGAGATAAAAAAAAAAGCTTCAATTGATTAGTAAGGAAACTTCACCTGGCGAAATGTTTGAGTACTTTATTCACCTACTGGAAAGCTATCCAGCCCACCAGTTCAGAGCAAATTGGCAGAACGCTGAGTTAAAGAAATTGATAGACAATTTACCCTTAGGTCACGTTTGTTGTATTCATGACTACTCAGAAAATTACAGCTGTCAGCATCAGGACCAAATTCAGTCACTGTATTACGGACAAGTCCAGGTGTCCATCCACGTAACAGTAATGCACCGTCACGCTATTAAGGAAATTGATGGAGAAGAAAGTACTCCTGATGATCCTGCAGTCATAACTGAACATTTATATGTAATCTCACCAGATACAAAACATGACTCACACTCAGTTCACAATTGCAGATCACATCTCGCAGTATTTGAAGGACATAGGATGTGCTGTTGAAACCATGCACGAATGGACAGACGGATGTGCTGCACAATACAAGAGTCGTCACTGCCTCGGTGATTTGTCCATGCCTGTTAAGGATTTCGGTTTCTCAACTATAAGGAATTATTTTGAAACATCTCACGCTAAAGGGCCACAAGACGGAGCAGGAGCTAATCTTAAACACAAATGTGATATGGCAGTAATAAGGCGTGAAGTGGTCATACAAAACGCTCGAGATCTATTCAACTTCGCTGAAAACAATTTAAAGGAACCATCACCAAGTCGGTATCAATCTCACAATGTCAGGCTAAAAAGACGCGTTTTCTTTTATGTCGAGAGTCAATCACATGATCGCAGTGATCGTTTATTCAAAGAAGTCAAAGGGATTAGAAGTATTCATAGTGTAAAATCTACTGAAGAGGAATTGAAAATCTCTACCCGTCAACTATCGTGCTACTGCTATCATTGCTTGGATGGTGATTATTCTTATTGCCTCCACAAGGATTATGTTCCTCACTGGGAGTCAAAAGAAATGGAAAATGAACAGCATGGTCGAAGAGTTACTAGAGCTATAGCACAACAAGTGACACCAGAACATGTTTATGATCTTATTTGCATCATTCAGTTGTAGCCATTGCCTCTGGAGATAGAGGTAGTGACTACTATTTAATGAAAATATCCGAGTGCAGTCACACTTTAGAGTCGAGAGTAAAAGATGACTGGGGAAGTGAGTATCCTGTCGGGGCAACGGTTGTAAAAGTTGAATTTTTCGAAAACGAATTGATAATTCAGAGTATGGCAAACTTTTACTTTTCAAACTTATCAGTGAAAAATGTGCAATCGTTTATTCGGCAACAATTACATATATTTGTCAAGAAATAAAGATTTTTGATGAAAAAAGGGACGTTTATGTTCTATCAATCGAAGAACATGAAAACATTCTCGAATCACTAAATGGATTCTAAAAATGTTATGTATTTTTCATTGCATATGTACATCATTTTCTGTAGTACATGCGTCTATTTTGTCTCATAAAAAGTTTTTATAAGTTAGATTTATACTCTCGTGCACTTTACATGTAAGAAAAAAATAGTGATTTAATTAATATCAAACGTTTACTCTTAAAAAGTTATAGAATAATTTGTAAGCATATATGTTATTGAAAATTTCGATATTAAAATGTATCAGTAATTCAATAAGGAGAAAAGCAAAAAATCAAAAGAACATATATATAGGCGAAATGTTCTGATCACAGAATGTTGTTGGAATAATACGTATGATTTGTTCATAAACAATGCGGATGAATGAAGCACGATACGGACGATAGGCACGTCTTACTTAATGCACAATTGGGGCGAAAAATTCAAAATATTTGGTACGATACGTAYGGAACTTTTGGGATGATAGGTGCGATACTTTTAGGCACGATAAGGACGATATGCGTGAAAAGTTTATTCTTGATTTGGGAGAAAGGCATGTTTTAACGCGGGTGAATTTTCTTGCTATTTTTCAAACGATTCTAACGCTTGTTTTTTCAATTTTTCTCAGGAAGTTTGAGCCCTAAGCTGTTGAAGGTTTCCACAATTGTAAGGAATTTCATGTGCACCTGGACACGACAAAATAATTTTAATAATGACAGAAAATAAAGATTTCATTCGAAATTTACCTCAATCGTTTTTTTCACAATTAATGATAYCTGTTTTATTTATCTCTCTAAATTCTTAACCTTTTGTTTTAAAGCAAAATAAAGTTATTTTTAAGGTGCACATGAACTGCAGATTTTTTCTGTGAAATTTCATGAACAAATGTTTTGTAGTTTTTGAGAAAATATGCAAAATATAGCGTTAGAAATTTGTTACGCGATTGTACACCAATAGCGTGCGCATGGCCCTATCAAAATCAGTGCAAATTGGTCAAACTTGTATCGGATAACTTCAATATTAACACTCGCTTTTCACAAAAAATATCTTTTTACGTGAAAAATATTGTTTTATTGTCTCTGTATGATATCAAGGCTAGTTTTATTTCTGATTGTAAATTTCAAATTTTATTGCTTGGGTTAGATTAGAAGGTAATGCTGATGCAAAGCAATTTCTTGATCTATATGCAAATTCTTCCATCAATATTACAATGTTTGAATTAGTCAAGTAAGGAGAATATACMGTCTGATCTTAAAGTTTGTATATGCAATTTATTTATTTCAAGGAGAAAAAATTGAAAGAGAGCTTTGGAGATTTGCCTGGAATTTTAGGAAAAGAAAATAAACAGGTTAGTTTCTAATTTTGCCTCAAACTACTCTTTATGTGTAATTTTATTCATCTATCCTTTTTTATTCTAACAGCAGAAAACCAGATCTATACCAACTAGCATTGAAGGTATCAATAAACCAGCCACATCAGCCAGAAGAGTAAAGGAGACCATTCAGGCAGCATCGATAATACATGGTGCCACTTCAACTAATAAAAGGCCTGCATTTGATGGTCTTTTTGATACCCTTCAAAAAAGGTGTAAGATTAATGAGTTAGGTGATTATGTGCTCTCCAACAGCATAGTAACAGAATATATAGTCAATGAAGTCCAAAGGAAACAACAACCCGAATTTTATAAATCCCCAGTTAACACCATTAGAAGCATTGTAACATATTAGAGTACAGGTGTTATGGGTAAACGCAAGTACCAGACTGATCGATTAGCATCCACGATAAAGGCTGGTGCCAAAAAAAGGGGAGGGAGAACAGCCATTATTTTTTTGCTCAAGTGCCCAATACCCAAGTTGCTTACATACAAAGCCCTTATTGATGAGGTTAACAACATTGATGTGGGGTCAGTTCTTTCTGTGAAAGATAAATTTGCATCACCTGATTATGATGAGCAAGTCAGTGGGTGCTATAGGGATCTTAGGAACTTTCTTCCGAGGCTAGCCTCCTTCTGTTTAAAAACACAAACCTCTCGCAAAGAATCACTTAAATGGTTTGGGGAGACGGAGGGAACTTTCATAGTTGCCCTAGGGGGAGATGGTTGCCCATTTGGCAAACATGAGACAGCATGTTCATTTTTAGCTAGTTTCATTAATGCAGGGAAAAGGGTTGCTTCTAGCAGCGATAATTTTTTAATATTCGGTGCCAACTGTGAAGAAACATCAGAAATTGTGCACAAATATATTTTAGAGCTGTGTAAACAAATTGAAGATTTGAAAGGTAAGGTCTTTGAAATCAATGGATTGCATGTGACATTTAAATTTCAGGAACTCCCAAATGACATGAAAATGTTGGCTATGATAGGAGGGGAGCTTTCCAATTCTGCAACTTATTTCTCCACTTTTGCAAATGTAAGTAAAAATGACTGCACTGACTTAAAAGGTAAATTTGGATCTGATTCTGAATGCAAATGGAAGGCCTGGTCATATGATCACAGGGTTATGACTGTAGAGGCTGTCAATACTCTCAACACTTCTTTGAAATCAAAACCCCTGTCAGAAAAAAAAAAAAAAAAGGTCAAAGGTGACAGAATTTATAGCTAAACAGAAGAGTCGCCAAGAATTTACTCCTCCAATTGAAAGACTAATTGACACAGCCCATGTAGAACCATTGCACTTGAAGAATAATGCATGGCAGTACTTCTTCAAATCCCTTCGTAAAGAGGCTGTAGGAAAGACTCACATCCCTTCAAGTCAAACAGAATTTACTGACCTTCCACCTGATTGCTGCTTGGTCCGTGTCATCACTGCTCTCCAGTATGAGGCAAAGGCTTAGCGTTTAGCAAGGAAAGTAAAAAAATGGTTTGACGAGACGCAAGGTAGGAAAGGAGACATATCCTACTGCTTCACAGGTATGAAATCACGCTTATTTTGCCATCACTTTATGAGACTGATAAAATATCTAAGTTGTAAAACTGATACCCCAAAATAAAAACAAGAAGTTTTGGTGTTGACATACATTGGATTGAGGTTAAGAGACTGCTGCTCAATTTTCAATAGATTTGATGTAAAAGAAGGGGCTTTGGACAATCTTCAAACCCTGGCCTTGGAATATTTTCGTGCCAATGCCTTATTCTTACCATCATCAATAAATCCCACAATCTGGACCCTTGGTCATGTTGTACCAGTACAAGCGAACCAAGTGTTCCAAGCATACAAACAGGGGCTTTTAACAGTTACTATGGAGGGCAGGGAGGCCAAACATATTTTCTTACACAGATTAAGTCAAAATACCTCATACCAAAATAGGTGGTATGAGATTTTCAAACACGAGTTTATTATGCTTATATGGTTACCTGAACAAGGGCATTATACCTGCTCTTACACTCCTAGCAAAAGTGTATATATTCCTTCTAGGGTTTTTACTGATAACAACTTTTGCTATTGTGGGCTAGAAAAGACTGATCCAGAAAACACAAACTGCTATTTCTGTGGGGATCCCCTATTCCCTTTGATTCATGCAAGCGTTACGCAGGGTATGGCGGTAGAGAGTTTGCTTAATGGTCGTGGGTCGTGGGTCGTGGGTCGTGGGTCGTGGGTCGTGGGTACGAAGTCGTGGGTCGTGGGTATGAAGTCGTGGGTCGTGGGTATGAAGTCGTGGGTCGTGGGTATGAAGTCGTGGGTTCCAATTTTTTTC